CCACTCCCACTCCCAATTCCGGCGCCGCGCCAATCCCGTTCCCACCCCAGAATAAACGAACGAACGAATGCATGATGCAGCGCTATAAACAGCCTCGGATGCAGGATGGATGGATGGATCACAGGATGGCTGGCGCTCGCGCCGACTCGGGATCGGCTTCCACTCACCCCAGATAGCTAACCCGCCCACTCCCGCCGGCCGCGGTCGATGCTAATATCCAACCAGCGCCTCGAGGCGTCCATCCCAATCCCAATTCCGGTCCCGCCTCGATCACCGGAATGAGATGAACGAACGAACGAACGAACGAATGATGCAGCGCTATAAACAGCCCAGGATGTGGGATGGATGGATCATAGGATGGCGATCGCGCCGAATCAACTTCCAACGATCCCAAATAACTAGTCCCGCCGGCCCCGGTCGATACTAATACTCACGCAGCGCCTCGCGGCGTCCATCCCAATCCTAATTCCGGTCCCGCCTCCATCACCGGAATGAGATGCACGAACGCACGAACGAATGATGCAGCACTATAAACAGCCGTGCGTTGAATGAATCAGCACCAACCACTTGATAGACTACTCGGTGCCGGGCCGCGGAGATGAATACGAGCACGAACACGCCCACGACCATGACCATGAAGTGACAATCTGAGGCTCCCAGCCCAGTCCCAAACTCCACACACAAGCATCCCGCCCGACGCACGCCTGCCCCCGCCGACAGCATGGTGCCCATCCTGTATTCTGCTTCTGCTTGATCAAGGCGTGAGGGTATCCAGAGGACAAACCCACCCCCCGGCGTCCACCCGGGCCCTCGAGGGGCGCTAACAATCCCCTTCGCTTTGCTTTGCAAATTGCACCCCGAGTCGCGTCGCGCGCCACTCTCAATCCAATCCATCTCACCCAACGCGAATACTAATGCCCCTATCACCCACCGATGAGAACCGCTCCCTCCTCGTAATGTACGTGCGGGTCTCAATTAATTTCGCTGTAGCCCTGACGCGCGCACCCAGCCATACTTCGCTCTGTATCCAGAGTGTGTCCCATCCGCATGCATAATATGTGCCCCGGCCTAATCTCCCAATACCGCCACCTGCACACAACGAGATATGCGTTGACTCCGGCTCCGGCTCCGGCCCGGTGTATCTTTCGTCGATTCTCAGCCACCAAAATTAAATCGTCTTGGCAGGTTTCCGCACGAACGCTAAATTTCCAAGACACCGTTCCGTGTACGTTAAGCAATCCCATGGGCAGCATCAACATGAACTACTCGGGGCAGCTGATAGTAAACCAACGACAGAGAAGAACGAGACAAACAGGAAATGCAGGACACCATGCTGTATATCCCTCGGGACGCACCGGGCTGCTGAGGTTGATTCTGCCGGGAAATGGGACTGGACGCGGGAGGGAGAACCACCCCCCGCCGCAGAGAGAATATTACAAAGTTTCGAGCCAGGTACATAAGATCCGAAAGCCGCGGGTGCAGCCTTGTGCAATAAACCGGCCCGTGAATTGCGTTTCGTATCGAGGATTCGGGTTATTATCGCACGTAGAAAGGGAGCCTCTATGTATCCACGGAAGATTAATATTCTCGGCCGCGGCTCGAACTGGACGATCAACCTGCGAGACATGGTTCTGCGGCGCAGTGGGAAATTACAGGAATGCCCGCACTACGTGTCGAAGTTGTTGTTCCAAGGTCTCCACATTTTTCCTCGAGAATCCGAATCCGAAATCGGTGTGAACCCCCGTGCGGAGCGCCAAAAACGGCCACTGGGAGAATCAACCGTTGCGCCCCTGTGGAAGTGTAGAAGGAGAATGAAGCGTACGGGGCTGAGGGCCACAGATTGAGGCATTCTGTCGTGGTTTAAATTGGAGACTTCTGCTGTGGTTAAAATTTACTGTACTCTGTAGTTGTGCCAATAATGATGGATAGCCCATAATATGTAGTAGCAAGGAAGCAGACAGAATGGAGAGAACCACAACACGTACGAACGAGCCGTTCAAGGACGGGTAATGTATTGAAATATGTGCGTCCGGAGTCCAACCACGCGTACGTATCCTTTGCGGCGGTTAACTAGAGAGCTCCGACTACGTCGGAAGAGACCTTGCTTGACAAAAATAAGTGTAACTTGGTGTTTTTATAGTTCCTGCTTGTGCTCTTAATCAATTGTATTGGTTCTGTAGGTTGCTGCATGTGGGCACCCCGGTGGCAATAGCAGGCAATGCATAACAATTGTGTAACACCCGCGACTTTACCCACCGTAAACGAGAACAGCAAAGTTGTATGATTGGCTCGGGAGAACTAGGATCAATGGGTGGGGAAAAATGCGGTCCGATTATGAAGGTGGAGAGACCTTGGAAGCAAGGTAACAAGCAAGGTAATTTAATTTAATCTGTACCACGAGTCACGCGCAGCGCACCGCGGCCTGCGCATGTCCGCGGGCCAATCTTCAACGCAGTCAGCGCCGGTGAACGGCCCGCAGTAGATGAACGCGCGCCCCCGAGTCCCGGACTCCATTAACTCATCTACGGCTGCACCACCGTTAACTCGTCGCATGAAGGCACGCCCCCCGTACGTCCTCCTCGTACATGATTTACCTGCGGATCTCAATTAATTTCGCTGCGCGGATGCCAATTAATTTCGCTGCGCGGATCCCAGCCCAACGTCGTCCCCTCAAACGACTATCTGCACCGTCCTCTACCATTAATACCTCACTCATACATCATCTTAAGATGCACTCATCATTAAACTCGGACATGGTTTAGTTGCGGATCGCAATTAATTTCGCTGCGTGGATCCCGAATCCCAACCCAGGTTCGTGCCCCAATCTACTATCTGCGCCGTCCCCTCCCCCGCCCCTCATATGACATCTTAAGATGCACTCATCATTCAAACCACCCCCCGAATTACATGAACTCCCTCCGGGCCGGGCCTGTCAGTCAATCTACTTATGCCCTCAAACCTTATCATCCTCTCGCCCAGAGTAACCACTCGGGATTTGGTAAACCCTACATCCGCTTCGGCCACCAAGGACTGCACCCACAGTGTTATAGCAACCCCCACTTGATCCCGTCCCGCTCGCGTCGAAATCATGCGCATCAATATTTAACGCACCGTGGTTTTCCGCGGAAGGACGGCGTCCCACCGCCATTGACATCGTCTGACATCGTCCCGTCAGGTCCCGTCGGAGTCTATTTTAACCTGTTAATTCCGTGTCAGATACCTACCACCCACCCCCATCCAGGCTGCGCTATATCGGGGCGGATTTGCACGCTCGATAGCCGGCGTACGTGTCCAACGTAACGCGTAAGGCGCCCAAAATTCGCGCCCAAGTTCAAGTCGCGACAGCTAAGAAGTTAGAACTGAGCATCCGGACGTCCTTCGTCGACTTGGGGTGGTGGCGGGGTTACCGCCGGTCCCCGCCTCCGTCGGGGATATTGTACACCATCCACGCCACAATCTCCCGTCAGGCCACAGGGCCGCGTCGCCCATATACCCGGGTGCGCGGGTGCGCTGAACCGATAAATCACGCTGCCCCGTCGGCACCCCCGTGCGGTGCCCGACCTCCCGCACTCGATGATGGCTTCCCGCCCTGTCAGTCTTCAGATCTGAGATACCTACCCACCCCCATCGGGCAGGCGCAGATTTGCATACGTCGGGGACGGGTAACGTAAAAGCGGCATCCCACAGGACGCCGGGGAGCGAAGTTGTTGAAGTTGAAGTTGAAGTTGAACTTGTAAGAGGTCGAACTTGGTCGAGGTTGAAGTTGAACCGCAATTCAACCACGCTTAGTCAGCCGGGGACCTCGGCGTTACGGTCCGACGGGTTAAATGTAGTCGCATTCAGCGCCGCTGGGGATAAGTATATTGCAGCGGCGCTGCCATGGCGATACACATACCCATACCCATACCCATGTGCCCCCGCTGCGACTTGCATGCGATCTTCGAGGCTCCGCGCGCCGTTGGGATCCCCCGGGCTTGGTCGACGACACCCGCGATGGCGAAATGCAAGGTAGTGACATCCTAGCACCACAATGTACTCAAGCCGGCTGCATCGGTGATTCCGGGGCGCGTCGGTCGGGAGGAGAGACGGACGGAGGAATTTAGTTAGGCCTTCAAGCGGGAACGCAGTCTGGATATTATTCACAGCCCGAATCCCCGATGAACTGCGAGGGCGGAAATAATACGCGGCTGTCAAGCGTATCACTCGGCTCGCAGTATGTCGAGCCCGCGGATGTCAACTAGATTATTTGACCCGTGCTTTCGTCACGGAGCTCGCCAACAACACGGTGGATTCCGTGCTCGCCGCAGAAACGGTGGATTCCGAGTTCGGGGGTTCGCCGCAGACACGGCAGATTCCGAGAGCGTGGGACCCGGCATCGACATCTCGACAGCCGGCGCCAACATCGACAGCATCAGGTGACTTGATCAAGTATCAAAGTGCTCGACGTCTCTTAAACTTAAAGTATAGGATCTCAATCTTCTAGATATCACGCAGGGCTCTCTTGATCGGAATCGTGATTCACGGTTCGCGTTCAAGCCAGTCTCTCCGTCCTTGTCTCCCTTCCTTGTCTCCTGTACAATTTCTTCGAGTCCAGTCCCTTCCGAGGTGGTTGCCCTTGGCCTCGTATGTTTCCCAACTCGATGTACTCATAATCATGCAGCTATGCAATGGTTCCCGATCAAGCTGTCGGACTCTCGTTTGTGGATTTTATCAACTGGAAGTTGAACTGGTGCTCCATCGTATAGTTAATTCATATCCCAACAGAAGCGGATTGCGCGCCTGGGTCGCCGAGGAATTGATTTTATGCATGGGACTTCACACCGCACGGCCAAACGTGAACGCGCTGGTTTCAATTTCCCAGTCCTCAACTAGCGCCCGCCACATTCCTGATGCATAGATCTCTGGCAGATACATAGATGAGCATATAAATCATATGGATAGGACCCAAATCTCAACCGAGTGCCAGTATGGTACCGCGATTTTAAAAGGACTCCCTCGACAGCACCGTAGCACAGCTGGGAGTGCGCCGGTCTCATATGTTCTTTACTTGAGGACTCTGAGCAATCCGGAGGTCGCTTGATCAAAACAAGTCGTTGCTATTTTTTTGCCCTTCCACTCGCACCACACAGGAATTGTATGACTCACGCAGACTCAGAGTCCGAGTCATAACTTCAACGAGCTGATCATTCGTAATCCACCGTCACGAATGTCTGGGTGGTCAAGCAGGTTTAAATAATTGCTGCGTGGGGTGATTACGCCAGCATTCCCTGCGCTTATCTCTCATGTGAGCAGCTGAAACGTAAGGGCAATATTTTGCCTTGTTTACTGCGCGGTACTTCAACGCGACCATCACGGGACCCATCACGGTCTGTTCGGCCGACCTGATCCGAGCCTGTCCGACCAATTCCGACCTCTTCTTTCGCTTGCACCACCACAATCCATTCTCACTTCGCTCTTGTTTATCGTAATTGGGTGCCCGATATCCGCAAGCTCCCTAAGTGATATCACTCTGAACGAGGGCACGCACACACCTTCCTCCAACTCCTCGCGTATCCGACGAACACCAAATTTCGGAGAACCAGCGACTACCACCGACCTGCGAGTGGGCTACTCCCACAAAGGCACCATGCAGGATCTGTTCCCCAAATTCATCCAGCCAGAACCCCCCATGCTTCACTTGACCAATCTGTACTATCTTCCCGTTCTTCCCCGCATCACCACGTTGGAACTCGACCTTACCGAAATTGCGTGCATCGGCGCCTTGTATGAATTCATTTACCCATTCTCTGGTCTCAAAACCCTGGTTCTCGAGTGCCGGAATCTGCCAGAGGAGAATGCCACCATTTGGAAGGAGACGGTACATGTCGATCCATTTCCGTCCCTGCATTCGAGACGTTCGCTCTCAACGCCGCGGGGGATAGTAATCAAAACCTCGCCCGGTGGATAGACTCTGGCGAAGCGGGCTTGTTGCTAAGTGTTTCGGATCCCCTGAGCACATTGCAAAAGTATCCGGTCGGGGACCGCTAGTTTGTTTGTTTATACTCATTCGAACGAGCGGAGTCGGTACGGTACAACAGAAGTTGGACCCAAACTGATCACTCAGGAATGACACTTGGCAAAATCTCGCTCTCTGATATATTTAAGCTACAATAAGAAAGTGCAGGTGTAAAACCTGCTCCGTACCGAGCAGCAATTGGACGCTCCTCAATCAGTACTCGCGTCGAGTTGCGAAGAGCTACATAGGGAGTCCAATATAACTGGTATGCATCAGATTTTAGTTCCTACTGTAGCAACCAGCGCGATGGGGCGAATCGGGGTATGACGGTCGACGTCACAATTCTGGGTGACTGAAATCGATGTATGGTTCAGCCTGGGTTTCCACCTTAATATGCATTCCTTTGGCAACCAACCCCGCCATTTGGGCATCCAGGCGCATATCTGGAAGTGCACCGAACGAAACAAGCTCGAAATTCCGGAGGCCCAAGGCCCGTCTCGTGCGAAGCATGTTGAGCCGTCACGGGGGCATGTTCTTGGTCTTGGCGGAGCACCGTGATGGCGAGTGACTCGAGTCCGGGAAGGAAGGTTGGATCGTCGGTCAGATGCGATAGGAGGAGCGGGAGTATCACGGCCTGTCCGTAAGAAAGGACTATTTTGGCGGTACGAAGGGAGCGGGGCATAGTAGCAAGATATTGCAGAAACCTTGCGCTGTCGCAGTCCACGACATATATATAGAGGCGGTCCAATGCGTGAGTGGACAGCTGGGCAATGTCGTCCTGCTCGTGGGAGAGGGCGAGCTTGAGATCCCGAAGTCGCGGGACAGTGAGAAAGGGGAGTATTAGGTAGGCATCTAGGTTCGTTGTTGTGAAAGCAATTGATTGGAGGTGCGGATGCGAGGGAAGGTTCCAGAGGTTGGTGTCATCCTATACATATCCTATAATGAGACTGACCAGGTTTGGCGTCAATCCAAAAGCTCCCCCGCTCTGAGGTCCTCCACGTGAAGGACGGTCAATTGAGACCAGGGAAGTGTGACGATCTGTGAATGTAGTTCGATGAGATGCACCGTCTGCAAAAGAGGCGCCTTTTCGAACAGAGTGATTGGAGTTTCCGGTGCATTCCAATCGAGAAGGCCGAGTTTTAAAGATTTCAGCTGTGGGAGATGTTTGTGGATGCCGGACAGCGCACGAAGTGAGTTTAGCGATGTCCAGAACCCGACGTTCTCCCAGGTTTTCGAGTGAGGGGCAAATGCGTCAAGAATCGGTTCGACACCCTGGTATTCAGGTTCGTCGTTTATCTGGGTGGTGACATCGAGGAATAGGGAGAGCGGCGAGGATGCTGCGCGAGATAGACAAGTGCGAATGGGGGATACGGAAGGTATCTGTCGGTTATCAGATCCGAGGTTGATTGAAAAGTCCATGTGGTTCCACAGCTGGGGTATGGACAGCGCAATCTGACACCACAATCGACAAATCTGGCCCAAGTGCAGGGACTGGCCCAGCAAACGGAGATTATGCGGAAAGGCAATACGGCCCGTCTTCACCACGGTCCAGCAGAAGATTTGGCTGGTGACTTCGCCGGGAAGGGTGAGGACGGGATAGATGATTGCATCCAGATCGTTTTGGACCATCTCGCGCTCGCACAGGACCTGGTCCAAGTATGCGCGAACCCTAGCGATCTCCGCATCCACGACTGACGCGCGCGCACGTAGTTCTGGGTTCGTCATCCTTGATCGGATTCTGGCGGACGTGGGCGCCGCTTCGAGGGTCGTCCCGCACGGGTGGCACTTGGAATTCATTGAGCTGACGGAGTAGGGAAGCCGTTAGTCGCTATACCATTATTACATCGTCAAAGAACGCACGATGGGTGCCTTTTCTGGACCTTGGATGGATAAATCGGATGGTTCGTTTGCTCCAAACTAGTGGTGGTACATAGGAGCTGCCACTGAGGGACCACTCTTAGAATTCCGCCGCACCCCTGTGTCCAAATAAGGCAAATTTGATGGCGGCAGAAATGCGGCCATCAAGCCTTGATCAATGCTTTGCCCAGCTACACCACAGGGAACAAGGGAGTAGGGTGGGATTGACCATGAACGAACTTTTAGCGTAGTTATATTATAGGAGTCTTCCGAAATTCCTACACTTCTCCAAGATCTTAGGTTCGATCCACTCAATAGTCATTATTTTGCCAGTGCGCCGAAGTCCCTAGGCCTACAAACACGAGAGGCCTCATTTCAGGAGGAAGTGCCTAGCGAATTTTTCTTATTTGAATTGTAGTATATATCTTACAAGGTACAGAATTCTGAGGCCTGAAGAGCCTCTGTGCACTTACAAGGCTGAGTTGTCTTCTACCAATCTCGGGATGCCGAGCTTGCCGTGCAGCGATTGCTGAAGCTTGCCGCCATCAAAGCTCCCGATATGGACTCAGGGGTGCGGCGGAAAGTTGACAACTCTGAGGGACCTGGAAAGCTGAGGCGATTAGCGCGCAAGATGGACCAACCGTGAAGGAACCTCACAGCCTCGCAGGGTACTTGAAGGGCGGCGTGCAGCTCAAGTAGTTCGACGGTTGAGCCAAAGTTGAGCTTGTCTTGCTTGGAGTCTGGATCGGGACGAGTGCCACTGCTGCCGGCATCGAGCTGGCATGATCAGTTCGCACATGACCGCGCTAGTAGCGGCCCGGAGTGGACGGTGATGTTAGCCGGAAGGTGTATGGAAGCGCTCGCGCGCTATAAAACACTGAAAGGGAGCGGTAACGCGCCCAATCCATTCAACGCTCCACAAAAAAATGTTGTCGGATTGATCCGTACGCATTTCACTTTCTACTTTACTCCTTCCTGTCATCGTATCCACCCCTATCTGCCGACCCTACTTTATATACCTGGCGCCCCTACTCCTTCCTTTAGTCGTTTGTCCACCTACGCCGAATATACCTCTTTTGGTTAGACTCGCTCGCACGCACCTCGCTTCCACTCGACAATAAAAAAGGAAAAGAAAAAAAAAGACGCCCTCACGTACTTACTAGTAACATCCGAGTCACTGGTGACGTGATCGGTGATCCATCCTTTGTAGGGATCCCAACCGTACCGTATACGGTTACGGCCGTATAGTTACGGCCCGTAAACCTCGACCTTTTTTGGCTATACGGTACGGTTACGGTACGGGTTTCGGTGTTGGAAGTCGGCAGGTCACACGAGTGTGGGTGCGGAGCAAGGATATATACGCAGAACGGTACGGGGGGGTACAGGTGCGATGGGGGATAAAGCTAGCGTAACATACTGAGTCCAGGGTAATATATGGGGCGATCCAGAATGCGCAGTAAATGCGACGGAGAGGGGGGAAGTCATAGCGACGCGTGACAGGCCTATTTCAACATTCGGACCCGTATAACCCGTATACGGAAACGTTGAACGCTGCCGGGTAAGGGCCAGTCACATCAGACACGTTGGATTCAATGTTTTCTGACCTCTGTGTAGATATATTGAGTCTCCAATACAACTTGGAGGTTGTTCTCGCTGCGTTCAAGAAACCCGTAACCGTAACCGTACACTAAGTGGGCAAAAGAAATGTCACATCGGTTTTTGGACTATATCTCAACATTGAGACAACATTTTTGGGTCAACCAAAGTGTAGGATCATGGAGAAGGAGCCTACGGACCGTTCTGTACAAGTGATAAGATCAAAATCTATTGATGCGCCATCACTTGAGGCCGAATACGGAAAAAACCGGAGAACCGATTTTTTCAACTCGAGCTAGGATTTTTTTGAGCACAAGCCGAAGCCGTCAGACTGTATTTCATGACGTTCTCTACCATCCCACATTTTGAAATGTGCAAGAATATACAGGGGATAGTGAGATATGTGCCTCGCAAAATGGCCACTATTATCCATTTTTGGCCATTTTTAGCCATTTGTCGCCATTTTGCGGGCCACATATCTCACTATCCCCTGTATATTCTTGCACATTTCAAAATGTGAGATGGTAGAGAACATCATGAACTACAGTCTGACGGCTTTGGCTTGTGCTCAAAAAAATCCTAGCTCGAGTTGAAAAAATCGGTTTTCCGGTTTTTTCTGTATTCGGCCTCAAGTGATGGCGCATCAATAGA